TAAGGGCAGTGGTGACCCCATCCCTCACCCCAAAAGTTAGGAATCACTATCATGTAGTATGATGTACTGTCAGGTGAAAGTTTGTAATTCTGAAGATGCTAATGGATCAAGAGCTCTAAGTAATTTGTTTTAGAATAATTCTTCATAATATTGGGAGAGAAAATAGTTTTCCCTGTTAACTTGAGATTTTTATAAGCACTGTAGAAGCTGACCCCTTCCATGGCTTCTGGACTTGGCAGCACTGTCACCACCAGTGTCATGGCCAGAGTTTTTGGGGTGACAGGCTGCATGAGAGTGAAGGAGTGGGGAGCTAAGGAGATAAACTCTGCGATGGTGGAAAAGTGTAATATAACTATGAGTCCTTAACAAATCTTTGTTTTAGTAGGGGAAAATTTGGGGGTTTGTTAAAGCAGCACTCTGACCTATATTTTCATTAAGAAACCTGTATTAAGGAATGCAGTATAGTGGACAGGAGATCTTTGCATATACATAAACTATTGGAAGTAAAACATAAGTAATAACATCTGTGGGAAGGGAAATTGGAAGGCTGACAAAAAGGGGTGGGAAAGAGACTTTACTGTTCATCCTGAACACTTTTCTCAAATTTGAACCATGAAAATACACTTCCTATTTATATGCAAATATATGTAAGTCCATGCCAAAAATTACTAACGTTAGTACAATGTCTGAGCCAGTTATACCACACAGATGGGCCTTATTAAAGTAGGTCAGCAAAAAAAAAAAAAAGTGGGCCAGTAGACCAAAAACCAAAACCAGAAAAACCAGAACCAAACCAGAAAAAGTACTGTGTCCATAAGATTTGCAGACCTCCATCATAGTTTTAACAGCATCACGTTTCAAACAGCCTGTCTGTTCTTCCCCTTGACACTCTTGCCCTCAGGAAAAAGGCCCCAATGTAATAATGCTCTTCCTCGTTTTTACCAACAGACATTACCACTGAGTACCAGATGTCTTCGTCAAAAATCTGTAACATCACCCAACACCTGATGAGCACAGGGTTACTTTTTGAGATTCAGGATCCTCAAGAGACTGAGGTTAAGCAGAAGTAGGTATATTAATAGCATTCCATAGAAGAAGCCAAAGAGCCCAAAGAAGTGGATCCAAATTATTTCCCTGCCAGGCTTGTAGCTTGCATGGCAACTAAGTGGTTTCTGAGTTGACTCAAGAGACTTTAATGGCAGCACCATTCCCCATTATGAAGTTCCTCGAGATGCACCTGGAGCCTTTTTTATTTTATTTTTATTTTTTAGTCTGAAGATGCTAATTCAACTTCAAAAGTATCCCAAGGCCCCATATTCAGAAGAAATTGGTTAATTTATGACTTTTGTGGACATTTCTCAGCCAAAGTTACTATGAATTACTGTATAAAGTTTCGTGAAGTTTTAAGCTCTAACTTTAGGAGAGAACAGTTTTGGTCACTTATTTTGGTATTTTTGATTATTTTTAAAAATTTGTTCTTGAATGGATGCTTGAAACTTTTCTAAGGGTACAAATGTGATTACAAATCTAATTGCCATCCCCATTCCTACCATCTTGACCGGTAACCATTGTATCAGTGTCCTAAGTATCCAGAGATAATTCCGTGTATCTCTAACAATCTAAGTAGGTACATTCCTTTTTGTTTTTATACGGATGTTAATGTCTACATTGTTCTGCACTTTGCTGCTTCTTGACATACCTTGGAGGCCACTCCATACCAGAACACTGAGAACTACTTCCTTTTTTTTTTTTTAATCAGCTGCATAATCTGTTTGGTACTGGTAATAATCTAATAGGTAACCAATTCCCTTTAAAAAATTAATTTTAAGGTTATTTCCAGTAATTTGCTATTATAAGTAATATTCCAATAAATGTCCTTATACAGATAACATTTTCATACTGATGTGTGAAATGCACATGTAGCTTACAGGATAGGTCCCTGAAAGTAAAACGTCAGGGTCAAGGAACATGCATTTTCAATCTTAATAGTCACTACTCAGTTGCCTCAGAAAAACTACGAATTACACTTCCATCCACAATGTCTAGGGAATGACTGTTTCTGTAGAACCTTACCAGCAGCATCTTATCTTTGAAACTAGTTTACAGGTGATGTGTAAGTTACATTAGCTTCCATTTCTCATTTGGATGAGAGAGAGAGATCTTTGCATATATTTGAAAATCATTTGTATTTCCTTTTCTGTCAACTGTTTTTGCCCCTGGCCTGTTTTGTATTAGATAGAAGTCTTACTGACTTGTGGGAACTCTTATATTTTCAGGAATTTAGCCCTTCATCTGTGATACGTGATGCACCTATTTCCCTCATTTTATGTTTGACTTTGTTTATGATGTATTTGCCAAGCAGATTTTTGAAAAAATGTAGTTGAATTTATCTTTTTTTTTAATGGCATCTAGGTTTTGTGTCTTGTTTAGAAATGCCTTTATAATTCCTGTAAGAAAATTCTGTGGATGGTTTTATTTTGACAGCTTCTTGAAAGCCCATGTGAGATGTTTTTGTGAATGTTAATTCAGTGTGTGCTTTTGTAGTTTTTTTTTCATTTCCTTCCCTAATATTTCCAAAGCATTTTAGAAAAATGGCTATAAGTTGCAAGAAAAGTAACAGTATTACTTCTAGATTTACCTCAAAGGAATGTAGATCATCCTCTAGGAAGCCAAAGAAATGTGCACTGTGCTCGGGAACTTGAGTGAGATGGAGATGTTCTCTCTCTCTGGGCAGATTTTGATTCCTTCTGGGTTCTTTGGGCATTTCTCAGATTGCTTTGTTTTCTGTGCACCTTAGTGAATGCTGATGAGTTATTTCTGTTTAAATAGAGTTAGGTTAACAATTTGGGAGCAGACTGACAAGTGGCACTACGGCCTGTTTAGAGCGTAGTCCACGATTCTTTTTAACCAACTCAAGTGAGGACCTGATAATCTTAGGTTTATAGTCATTCCATTGGGGCGGAAGGTGTTTTTCCCAATGGATGCTAGTTTTATGTTACACAGCGACTAGGTAGTCTTAGCACCTTTCATCCTAATTTCTTAATAGTTGAGACAGATATTCATCTTGCCACCAACTACTTTTTGTAATGATTCATGAAACATGGGTCCTTCTAAGCAGCTTTGATTTCCCACACAGGTGCTCTGTAAATTCTCTTGAAACATCACATAATCTTACTAAGCTAATTAGAAATTAAAAGCAGATGAGTTTAAAACGAAATATCTTTGAGTATTGTGTTGGTGACCCCTTTGATGGGCTTGCAGATTCTTGTCAAGGTGATAGTCATATGGGAGTTCATCAATTGCAGCCACACTGGCAATTTTCCATTGGGCCTTAGAGACTGGAATGAAGAGCAAAGTTAATCTTATTACTAGTAATACAGTGATTGCATTTGTCCAAAACATTGAAGAAATACCAAGGTGATTCATGCATGATTTTATCAAGAGGAAAAGAATTTTTTCTTTTGTCCTTATCCAAGGAGAATTTTAATTTTAGGTGAATTACTAATACTAGGAAGGAATTATTTAGTGTTGATGCACAGTGACTTGACAGGTATTTGGTCCATGCAGGGCTTGGGCTGCTTTTTAATATTTCTTTAGATTACTCCTCCAAAGTGTGTTCATTATATTTCTGCCTGGATCTTCACTGTTACTCAACAACAGGTGGAAAGCTCGTAGCTTAGTAATTTTCACCCCAAAGGAAATCAGCTGAATAGGAGGAAAAGAAATTGGATCATTTATAGTTGTCAGTGGTTGCATAATAATTAGCCAGTGCTTTGCATACATATTCATATTCCTATTATCTGAAGCTCTGCAGTATGTTCTTTGCCTATTTTAATATTTTTAGCGGATGCTGTTTTTCCACCTTTTTCTGATTAATAGTTACTAGAAAAGAGTTTCCTTGGTGAAAGAAAGGGCAAGAGCTGACGAAAAAGTTAATTTTTAATTATTTGAGGTTCCAAATTGAATTGCACATTTTAATACTAATAAGGCAGAGAATTCCTATGGAAGTCATAGGAAATTTCCTGTATGTATACCTAGAAATGTGGTCTCAGCCACAGGAAATCTATAGGACATTTTTGTCAAATATTTGATGATGAGGAAAAGGCATTAACATAGCAGAACCAGATCTACTAAAGCTACTCTGTTAAGCCTAATAACGATATCTGTGATTTTAAAACATTTTAATGCACCTTTTTTTTTCTCCCTTCAAACTACAAAGTATCTCTTTGGTGTGAGAGGCAGCCCTGTTCTACATCTCTCCCATCCTAATGGCAGCTAACTAACATAACAGAGAGTGTTTGTGTTGTTTGCTCTATTTTTCTCTGTCTGAAATGTCTTAGGGTATGAGGAATGTGATGTGAACTTTTATGAACTTCTAAGATCCTCACAGTATCTTATTATTCTGAATATTGGATGAAATTGTCCACATGCAAGTAACCTTTTAAATCTCAGCAGTAAAGACATCATAGTAGGATATGAAGGATAGAAAATCAGTGATAAAACCAAGTGACCCATTTTTACTCTTGTGAGGCTCTCATCTAATGGAATTGAGTTTCATCCGAAACGGTTAAGACTTTTCAGTAGAGACTGACTCCATCTATTTTAGGGATTGCCAAATGTGTGGCCTTAGTCATTTTGTCTTTCATGCTAGATTAATCTCACGTTAAGACTGATTCCACCTTGTAGTGTTAGGACTGCCGTGGCTAGAAAGGAAGCATAGTTCCACTATTTTTCAGATGGACACACACACAAAGAAAATGTCTATCTGTTAACTACACTCATGCGGGCCTTTAAAAGTGACTGTTCTCCAGGTAAATCCCTCGTTTAATAATTCGTAAGCAGAACTGAAAATGGTTTTCTCAAACCCCAGGAAATTATGCAGGAATCTAGTAGATATTTTTGCACTGTTTTCCACTTGCATCTTTTATTTCTGCAGTATGTACAGTATAGGTAGAGAAATCAGCCTCATTGGTTGTCTCCATGTTTCTTTCTCTCCTCAGATGCAGACAGACATGCTGAACTATCTGGGAGTCCACTGAAAAGCAAAAGCACTAGGAAACCTTTGGCATGTATCATTGGGTATTTAGGTGGGTATTTTCTCATAGAGGAAAATCTCAAAGAACAATTTCTGTGTCTTATAAATATTTGGTTGCTCTAAATTGACATACCTAAACTAAATTCAAGCCTTTCAAATAGCTAATTGAATACTTCATATGCATAGTCTACTTGTTTTGTTTTTGGAAACTTCTATTTATTACCAACACATAACATACAGAGTTATGAATATGTGTACTTTTTCCAAAATATCATTGACTAAAATATCATGTATATTTATGAATACAAATACAGATTAAACAAAAGGATGAAACTAAGAATCACCAAATTGTTAGAGGGTGAATATCTTTAATATTTTAATTTAGATTCTTCCGCTATTTCTAACCTGCCTTTCCCCTTCCCTTAAATAGAGAAGGATTGGTTTATTTCCTTAATTTAAAAAAAAGAAAGATAAAACTGGTTTTTGACCTTTAAAAAAATATTTATCATTTTGATACTCCAATTAAGGTTACATTGAAAGGGTAGCAGGCGTATTGCTTTCTGGTTCTTACCATCTTAATTTAACTTGGAAATTGCCAAAGGTGATGGTTCCATCTACATATTGTTGAAATATCTCAGTTAAGAATGGTATAAGATATTACTAGGAAATAACTAATTTTTTTACAAAGTTTTATGATAACTAATTTATAGAATAATGGTTCCTAAAGTTGTTCCTGATGCACCTAGAAACTACAATGGCATGTTTTTATGCTTCTGACATTCTTGCTTTTTCATTTTCTCAGTAAAAGTGAAATATATATCAGAGTTGCATTGAACCTTATTGCTCTGTCAGAAAGATTTATAGTTATAAAGTGTTCAGATTTTAGACATCCAATCTTTTAAAAAATCAAAGTGTACCCTTGAACTGGGTATATTATCTGGTTTTCCTCAGAGCATCCTAGGAGTCAGAAGCTCACAGTTCCCTCCTTGATGTTTCTTTGCCACCTTACTTCTTATTTTTTTCCTCAGGGCCTGAGGAGTTGCTTTGATATCCCCTGAAAGTAACACATGGTTATCATAGGCATGGCCTAGGTCATAGGATCAAGTCCTTGAAGTTTGCTGTCTGTATTCCCGTGCAGGACCTAATCCTAGCAGCCCCTTCTCTTGTAAGGGAAAGTTTCTGATCATAAAAAAAATAGAATGTAACTTTGCATATTAGTTAGCTTTTCCATGGGTGTGTGTTTCTCCTGTGGACAAATTGGTCTCTGTCCCTACCAGATAAGTCCAAAGCTGTGCTGTCATTACTAGCTGAACCACATCCCTGCATAACACATTTCTGAGTATTTACTAGGTATAAAATAGTATACTAAGTGATTTGAGGAATTCATCAAAATGAATAAAACCTTGCCCTTAAAAATCTTAGTCTAGTGGGGAAAGTACACAAGTAAGGACAGTTAAGCAAAGGATTAGATCCTATAAAAAGTACAAGTAACATGTATTGGACATTTGAAGGAGGAATAGTAATTTCTGATGAGAGGGCAGCTTATGTGAAGAAAGTAACATTTGATCTCAGTCTTGAAAGATACATAGTATTTGAATAGATAGAAAAATATGAACAGAATGTTTTTCCCTTTATGAGGCCAAGAGAACTAGATGAACAAAGGCTTGAATGAGTCCAAGGACCCAAAAATGTCAGGGAATAGAGGTTGTCTGGTCTAGATGGAGCAAGGAGTGTGGATGTTGTAATAAAAAATGAGATTGGCAAACCATCAATACCATGTTGAAAAAAACAGTGTCTTTTGGTTAGTACTTGATTCATTCCTAAATTTGGGCAAGTATAGGATATTGGCCAGACTGAGATGTAGTAATTCTAACAATCCCAAAGGCTCTTAAATTTAAGTAAATTAAGCTGATATCCTCCCTGCCTTCATCTAAGACAGGGTGGCTTGTGCATAGTTGGCATGCTAGGTAATGACTCAGTGAGCAGGTTTAGCTTTGGAGATGTTGCCCATATTAGTACCAGACAGAGATCCTTAAATACAGTTCCTACAGTATTGTAATTTCTGTCCACCTACTCCAAAAAGTGCAAGTAGTTCCGGGCTGTGTAACTAACAACAGCATAATTGACATATACATACAACACATGCATAGTACAGTTTTGTGCTATACCCTTGGTCAAAGCTTTTCTTCTACTACATCTTGACTCTCATATTTGGAGTTCAGTGTCAGATTTAATCCATATAAAAATGTTCTGGCGTGAGAGTGATTGACCCTGGTCAACAGAGCCAGAGAAGGTGATTGACCCTGGTTGCAGAGCCAGAGAAGGAATCCTGATTTTCAGAAAGCTCTCACATACCAGACATGGTACATGCTGTGTCACTGGTTTGATCGAGCACAGAGATAGTTTCTCTGAGACTACTTCTGCAGATAACCTTGAAGAGTCAGGTGCTTTTATTCCCTTAGTAAATCTCTGTTTAGGTGACCTTCTGAAGTGGCTTCTTTGTTTGTACTCATGACATGAAGCTCAGAGCTCCAGCTAGTAAAAGAACCAGCTCACGTTTGATAAGTAAAGCCATGGTAACAGCACTTGAAGCTGATTCATTATGCAGGTCCTCGGGAAGACTGCCTGGCTTATAAGTAGCTGACTCTCAGCGCATTAGGAAATGAGATGTGTGCCTATTAGCTGATGTAAATGCACACAGATTTTTAATACCGTGTTCTGAGTTGAGAAACCTTTTCTTCCTCAATCAGAAATCCATCCTTCGAAGAAACCTAATGTAATTCGATCTACACCAAGCCTGCAAACCGCAAGTACCAAGCGGATGCTAACCACCCCGAATCACATGTCTCTGAGCATTTTGGGAAAAAGAAACTACAGTCATCACAATGGCCTGGATGGTATGTAAGCCTAGGAATTCTGGAGGCCAATCCCATAGGCCAGAGCCTCTCTGCCTTTGCCAGTTCCAGGTGTGTCATCTGCCCAGTCCAAGTACTATAACAAACAGGTTCTTCTACACTCTGAATGAAACGTGTGTTCAGGGGGTTAAGAGGGAAAGACTGCCATGTGCCACCATGCAGACATTGGCTAGGTGATATTTCTCTATCTGCTCAGAAGGGACATTTTTGCTCACATTTCCTGTTAAGAGGCTTGTTTGGAGATGAAGTCTGTATTTATCAGGTTGCCTCTGCTGGGTAATAATGTTCTTGCTTTGGTGGACACTCACTGCTCATTTCTGTTTTCTTGGGCAGAAGGGATTATTTTACCTTATGTCTGAGGCAGCAGTGTTCTCTGGGGGTTCTTCAATGTTCTGTGGATCATTTTGAATTTGGCATTTGTTCCCTACTTTCACCTCATAAAATCTTTTTAATTGCTCAAGAGTGCTACAAGTCACGAAAGGAATTGCATGGGTGATGTCCTAAATAAAGAGAAAATTTGTTTGAAATGGAAAAGCGGAGAAGTATCACCTCTTACTCAAAGTTCTCCTCTTGGTCATATAATGGTCATATAATGACTCTTCAGGTGGAATTGAATTATCTTCCTATTTGGACTCTAAACACAAGCATAATAAATCATCCAGGCATAGACTGTTCATTTCAATAGCCCTGGAGTTTGAAGCTGTCTTGATTGTTTAAGTGTTGGCATTTATTGGACTCTAAACACAAGCATAATAAATCATCCAGGCATAGACTGTTCATTTCAATAGCCCTGGAGTTTGAAGCTGTCTTGATTGTTTAAGTGTTGGCATTTATTTATGAATAAAAGTTTCCCCAGGCTTTTCATGTCTTATGGAACTCTAAATTCCTTAGTGACAGTAAATTATTTATAATGAGGCCTTAGCGCAAGGATGTGGAATAGACCTAAAATAATTTCCCATGGTTGTTTTTCTTTGGTATGACTTTTGATGGTTATAGTTATGTTAAAATGAATAAAAAATTGAGGGTGAGGAGTTTAGTTTGCATTTACAGGGTATCAGCAAAAATAGGTTTACGTGGGAATAGCAGAGAACTGCAATTCAGGATACGTAAACTACACCAAATCCATACACAAGCCCAGAGAACAAAGGAGAGCTTTCAAGAACTTATTTGCAGAATACTCTTGCAGAAATACTTCCTTGCTAATGAGAACATTGGCCATCCTTGCCACAGTATGCCTGATATCTAGACAGCAGAAGACCAAGGAATTGTGTCAAAACATGTAGATTAGATTTCTTTCCAGCTTTTCCTTGCCCACAGCCTGGGGTCTTTGGATTCAGGCTTAAATGGAATCTTGACTCTTGCTTTTCCATCTCATCACTTCCTGGCCTCTCTACATAAATAGTCCTACTGCAGAAAGCATAAAGTAAGTTCTGGCTTATTTCATATGTACTTCAGGATAAAAAGACTCTTATTGTGACTGATGCTGGAATAGCAGCTTTCTAGTATCTGTTTCCATTTGTGCCCCATCCTGGTTCCTAGTCCTAGCCCTGCACTATAGCTCACGTTGCTCTTTCCTGATATTCTACTTGCCTGTCTCCTTGGAGTTTATAAAAAAATGCCACCTTGTAGTTTTGCCTCTCTAGGGCTGCCCGCCCCATTTCCTTATGGATGAATGCTGCTGCAAGACCATTGCTTCTCTGCTCTGACCAGGAGGCATGGACAGGGCATACGGTGAATCCCTAGGGTTAGGTCAGCTGAGACCTCAAGCCTTGCTGAGGAAAAGACACTCATCTCATTTCCTGAAGAGACATAGCTCTTGAAACACTTTTTTCTTTAAGACCCATTTGTCTTTGCTCTCCTGTCGTGGTATGGAGAGGAAGGGTGGTGACAGGCTTGTGTTATCTCCTTTATAATTCACATATCAGGAGGTCCAGGAATTTGACTGTTTTGCATAACATGTATCTCTACTGCTAACACAGTGTTTGGAACTTAGTAGGTACTGTTAACCTTAAAAAAAATTAAAACTATCAGTTATTTTACCAGCAAAAATAGGTTTACGTGGGAATAGCAGAGAACTGCAATTCAGGATACGTAAACTACACCAAATCCATACACAAGCCCAGAGAACAAAGGAAAGGAACACTTTTTTATAGAAGAAAGGGCAGGCCAGGGAGAGGCTCTTATAAACAAAAAGTCCCTTGGAGGGCACTGGGAGTTCTGAATATAGTGGCTTCTCATTGGCTGAGTGGTGACAGTCTGCCATTGGCAGGGCTGTTGTGGGGTGGGGAAACCCTTTCTTCCTCCTGCTGGTTAGTAAAGGAATATCCAAAGCCCTGTGGACTTGCCATCCCTCTCTTCCTGCTGGGTGTGCGATTGATGAGGTGTGGGCATGAGAGCACCCCCTGTTGGCCTCTCCATGCCTTGTCAGTGAGGTTTCCCTTTATTAATTTTCACAAGGCTTGATAAATGTTAATTGAATAAATGAAAGTGATTGAGAAAAATTAGACTGAGAAGTGAATAAAATTTTCCAGAGTTAGCAGGTACTATATAAATGCATTGGGATTCCCAATCAGGTGTGACTGATTTCAGAGTCTGCTCTTTTAACAACTATTATAAATGAAGTTGTGGCTCTCAAATGTGCTGTTAGTCAGCAAAATAGAAACAACATAAGTTATCTTAATAATTTAAAATAGGAAATCAATAAGACTGCTACTGAAGGACAGAATAGAGAACACGTGTTGGGGGCGCCCAGGAAGCAGCCGCCATTCCTAAGGTTGGGAGAGCAAGAGGAAGCAGTTGGAGTTATCACAAACTGGAGACTTCAAGAGGGCCCCGAGGACTGGCTGGCGCTCAGACCCCCTAGCGAAAGGGTGCTGCTCTTTGGGTGCTGGTGTCTCTCAGGTGTGAGGAGGCTGGTCCTGGGAGTGTGAAGTAAAGCTGGGAACTGGAACAAACTGCTGCTACTTGGTGTGACGCTGACAGGAAAAGAAAGGAACAAGGCTCTTCATCCGCCAGCTTTGCAGACTCCCTACCCTGGTAACAGGGAGCCTGATGGCCAAGGAGAGATGGGTTTGCAGAGTCCCAGCCCCAGCATGAAAGAGCTGAGTTTAGATGGATGATATGCAGCTGAGAGACAAGGGTAACAGCAACACACGTTTTTGAAAATGCCCCCATTTTTGTATTCCCAGTGGGCCTTTTCATTGGGATAATGAATCTGTTTCTTATTTCTTCGGGATAGGACTAACCTCGGGAAACTGACTAACCTCAGTTTCCAAGATGAATTCAAAGTACTAGAAAAAATGTTAGGCTAATGCAGAGTTTTCATCGGGTAGTTAATACCATCATATACTGGATTGATTGCTACAAACTCCTGGAAAAGCCTTGCCCTGTGTGATCCGACAATAAAATCATCCCCAAGAACCCAAAAGAGAGGGCAGCAGGGGATATGGGATTTATCTGTGCCATAGGAAAAAAACACATGAGTATTTGGAGTCAGATGGGATTAACTGCTGACTTCCCTAATTATTTCCTTTGTGGGCCTGGGTGAATCACTTGGTTTCTTTAAACTTGTTTTCTCCTCTGTAAAGTACAGATTTCATTTGTCTTAATGGAGTTGTTATAATGACTAAAAATTTTTCATCTACTTTATACCACTTGATCTTCCAAACACTATGAGATAGGTGTTATAGCCTGCATTTTAATAATGAAAAAACTGAAGCCCAAAGAGGTAAGGGATTTGCTGAAAACCACACTGATAGCAAGTAGCAGAGGTGAGATTTAAACTCCAGATCTAGGGTTGTTTCCACCGGGTGAGTAAGGACCCAGATTTGCATGTTGAGTGCAGCATGTACCTGGAAGATGTTTATGTTCTCTGTGTGTAGGAGACAGGTGTGCATTTGTAAATGCAGATAGGAAAGTAGTGGGTATTTTTCTTTGCTCAGACTGTGAAGTATAAGCTATCATTGTCTAATCAAAACAGTCACCTCCATTTCCTGCCTCTGTGAAGCTCCTCTGCCCTCTCCCCTCCTTTTTCTGGAACTTAGGTCATAGGAACTATTAGTGTCAGAAAGAAGGCAGAGAAAAGGAATGACAGAAAAGTTATGGAATCACCTAAAAGTGAAATGTATTTTGATTAAATTATATGATGTTCTCAACTTTGACTCTGACTCATAGTAGGTATTAAGTGTTAAGAGTCCATCCTTTCCTTTAAAATGGAGCTATTGCTAAAATTTTATTTTGAAAATGAAGCTATCAAAGTTTTTATAGTCTTACGTGAATTGTATACAAATAAAATGTCAGTACTTTTCTTATAACTACATTAATTTCTTACCTAAAAGTATTTCTTACCCAAAAAATGATTTATGGATTTGCTTGAAGGTAAAGAAGTATGTTCCAGTGTATATTTGCATGTTAAAAGGGCCCAGTATCTATAAAGAGAAATTGCCCTTGATTAAGTTATTTTGCAGAGTATTAAAGACAGGAAATTAGGTTTATAAAGAGAGCTCATTTAGCTTCCTGTGGGCTCCTGTAATTAGAGACCCTATAGCAGAGGGGATGGAGCATCATCTTGAGACAGTAGGATCTTTTTCAGCACGAAGGCTGAGTCAGAAAAACTCCAGAGAGGAGAGGGGCAGATGGGCTGTACAGGCATCTCTCGTCCTCTCCTGACTCCCTAAGAAATTGCCCTGGGTCCTTCTACCACCCCCTGCTGGGGTCAGATGCTTTGGTGAGTCAGCAGACCTTCCATTCCGCTGCAGAGGGACAGGTGACTGACTTCTTTGTTTCTGTCTTTATCAAATGGGCACCCTTAAGAACAACTTGTACTGTGTAGCGATACAGACTGAGGAAGCATCAACCAGAGATATGCTTTTAACCTTTTTCTGGGATGACATGGCTTTTGTCCCAAGGGTACTGCTGAAGCAGGGCTCAGTGTGTCCGGGAAGCCAAACAGGCAGGCTCAGAAGAGATGTGAGTTCTTAGTG